CTTCTGGGGTGCAGGGTCATAGCCGCTCCCATTTCCACGGCACTCAGCAGCACCCACGCGTCCTGTGTGCTCAGCCTTGAGCGGGTGCTGGGCTCCCGCCTGCCGCACGCTTGCGGCTGTGAGCTGAGCCGGGCTCCGGCCCCGGGCAGGCAGCGTGGGCATCAGGGCCTCGGCACCTGTGTAGGCCCGGATACACGACCCAGCGGTCAGTGTTGTCAGCGGGGCCCAGCGGCAGCTCTGGCCTTCGGTTCTCCCCGCACCGCCTGCCCACGGTCCACGTGTGCTGGAGCAGCACTGAGCGAGGGAGGGCTTGGGGGGACTCGGGGGACCGAGGGGGCTCGGGAGGGCCGGGGGGCGTGGCTGCTTGGTTGCCATGGGCGCGCGCGGGCTTGGCATGCCCGAGGCTCTCAGCCTGCAGGCTGAGGGGCCTCCTGACCGCCTTGGCGTGTTGCAGAGCCCTGCCCGCCGGAAGCGGCCGTGTGCCTGCTGAGCGACTCCAAGCCCGTGAACCTGGGCCGGGTGAGCGACGGCCCGAGTTGGAAAGATGGCGCCACGGTCCTCATGTACGTGGATGGGGACTGGTGTCCGGACAAGGTCCGGAAGAGGTCGACCACCATCCGCTTCACCTGTAGCGACAAGCATGCCGTAAGTGACGGCGCTCTCAGCCCGGCATTGCGCGTGGGGACAGGCGGCCCTGGGCGCCGCGACCCCTGCTGTGTTTCTTGGGGTGTGAGTGGACGAGCCGGGGCCAGGGCAGGCCCTGCAGGCAGGGGCCACGCGCTACTCGCCCGGCTCCCGAGAGGCCTGACCCAGGATCTGGTTCCGGGCGGCTGGGCACTGAGGCTGGAGGCCCACCGTGGTGCTGGCCCTCGTGGCACCTGTCCTGTGGCCGCCCTTGGGACGTGCCAGGTCGGCCCGCCCGGGCCAGAGGGCGCCTCCTGCTCCTGGCTGCTGAGCCAGTGGGGCCCGCAGCCACGCCGATGTTGCTGGTAGCATGTCACGCCCACTGTCTTGCCGGGTTGGGGGAGGAGAGGCTGCAGGCGGCTCCTCTGGGACTGGACCTGGCTCCCGGTCAGGCCCCCCCGAGGGTCAGCGGGTGTGTGTGAGCCAGGGCCCCGAGTGGGTGGGCCTGGGAAGGACCTTGCTGCCTGAGTGCTGTCGCTTGGGAGCTGGGTTTGGGGAGGGTCTGTGCAGCCGCCACCTGTGGGCTCTTGGGCTGCCGTGCGCGTGCTGGGGTGCGGGGGGCGCTGGGCTGGAGCGGGCTCTGGCGGGGAGCAGTGTCCTGCTGGGGCGCTGTAGAACGGCTGGGCCAGAGCCTGGGCCCGC